AAGGCTGAGGTATATCTTCCCTAGATGGAAAAGTTCTGCTGTACCTAAGCACCTAAAAGTACCTAAGCTTATACCTGAGTTTGTCCATATAAGGTATACTTTTGTTAAGGCTTGATCTTCACCCCAAGCATGTGGTTTTTGTCTTTAAAAGCTTAGTGCAGGCTTTGTTCAGGGCTACAGGTCCTTGAGACAGGAGTCCACCTGCAGACACCAGCTCTCCAGTAAAGACTCTCAATTTGACCTCTCAAAATATGGCTTCTCTGTTTCTCATGGCTGGATTCACCTTACAATACTATTACCTAAGACAGGTACTTTGCATGCTGAGGCCAATAAAATCACCCGCTTGATAAACAAAAATTTTCTTCAAAGGAATAGAGAGAGGGAAGGAAGGAAGAAAAAAAAACAGGGAGAGGAGAGGGGAGGGGAGGAAAAAGGAAACAGATTTATCAGGCACTAGATAAAATGTCTCCTTTTAAATATCCACAAACTCAAAGACTCATATTGTTTAGACAATTCAAAAGCTCTGAAATTACCCAGGCAAGGTCAATGCTAAGAATTTTATCCAGTTGTCTTCATCGGGCACAATTTCAAGGGAAGTAATTATATCCCCAAAGGTATAAACTTTAAATCATGTATGTATTTCAACTGAAATTGTATAAAGTTCAATAGGTAGAGCAAGCCTTGAGCCCATGACCAACTCTCTCACTTCCTTTCTTGCTTTTAGAGAGGGTATCAAAGGCTCTCTTTCAGCACTTTCCTCCTTTGCTCTCCTCCATTTACTAAAGAGTCTTATAATAAACAAAAGTGTATGCTACCAGCTTCCTGCGCACTGCCTTGCAGATCCATCCAGTGTGACCTCAACCCTATTGCCCCTCTGTGCCTCCAGTCCACTCTACCCCTGGCCCCACTTCCTTTTAGGGAAAATATGCCATCTTTAGGGAGCTGACTTAGCTAACAAAAGTAATGTCCCAGAAGTAATGGCCCAAGTGCTTTATCTAGTGACATGCCTAAGGCCAAATGGAGCCTGACGTACAAACCTCTTATTCATAAATTGATCTCAGATCCACCTGAACTAAAGGCAAATCGTATGCAAGAGAATTGCCACGGGCTGCAATAACTAGTTTCACACTAAGCAGTGCTGGAACTCTCACATATTTTCCTTATGGCACCTGCTGTAAATCCTGAAGATTTATGGTCACTAAGAGTTGTGTGCAGCTGTAATCATGTCCCATGCTGGGATGATAACCTTTCCAGAAACCAGGTGTTTTCTGTGTCTGGACTTAATCACCCGACCCAGCCAAGCCCTGGGCCACATGACTTTTTCCTGCAGCAGGTGAAAGCCCAATGGCCAATCTCAGAAACTCTGCAGAGTCAATCTTTACACAGGGAAGTGAGTGGAACAATGTGGTGATAAGGTCTCAAAAGCAAAGTTGACAATCCCAGATAAAGACTTAGTGCTGACCATCCTTTCCCCCAGAAGTCTCTAGGAACACATAGAGGGTGTTTCTCTAACCCCTGAATAATGACATAACTTTGTTCTCAGCATGGCAGGCTTGGGGTTGAGAAACAATGAAACTGAGGCACATAGGAGAGAATAGATGTCTTCTACTCATTTTCTCCTGGCTTTTCTTTCTGGGATAGGAAATAAAGAAGAGGAGAGAATCAAACCTGATTTATTTCCATCCGAATAGGTAACCTGGCTACTGCCTTTTTTTCTTTTTCAAGCCCTATAATCATTAATAGATTGTTTTGAAAGTTCTTTTAGTAACTTCTAGCTGCAGCCTGATGTGAACTTCATCTACTGTTCCTGTGGCTCTAAAAGGACAGAGGGCCTTCTGAATGATATGTTTATAGTTGTATGTGACACGAGGCAAGGGTAGTTTAGGACAGGTCAGATGATAAGTTTTGTTTTGCAAAGCAGGACAGAAGGAGGGAGCTAATAAAGGGCTACATCTGGAGGCCTTGGCGCTAGGCAATGGGGAGGAGATCAGTGATGGGGCAGGAATACTGCACCAGTGAAAGGCTCTGACTTTGTTCTCCTAAGCTTTGGACAAGAAACAAAAAGCATCCCCCAGCATCCAACCCTCTGAGAACTCTTTTCTGAACCTCTATAATAGGAAATATAGTCCTAATACAACAACATCAACACTTCACATCTAAAATAGTGTTGATTTCCTAAAAATTGCTTATAAAGTGGAGAGAATACCCAGAATTGGATGGAGTTTGTGTGTCAGCCCTCAACACTACTCTTAGAATTTTCTGCCAGATAGACATCTCCTACATATAGACCTGAGGCTCTCAGGTTGCTGTTGTCCATGAGCACATAAAAGAAAAAGCAGACCTGGCACCGGTGGCTCACACCTGTAATCTTAGCTACTCAGGAAGCTGAGATCTGAACATCATTGTTCAAAAGCCAGCCAAGGCACGAAAGCCCAGACTCTTATCTGCAATTAACCACCAAAAAGACTGGAAGTAGAGATAGCTCAAGTGGACAATCACTAGCCTTGAGTACAAAAGCTCAGGGACAGCACCCAGGCCTGGCATGAAAGAAAGAGAGGAATAGAAGGGAGGAAGGCAGAAAGAGAGGAAGGAAGGAAGGGAGGGAGGCCAGGAGGAAGGGAGGGAAGCAAGCAATGCTGAAGAATGTCCAACATCTTTTGTTGTGGTCTTTCAAATCTTAGAGATGCTATTTTCTTAGCTAAAAGTCACCCAAACTTAAGATTCATAAAGTATAATACATGGTAAGTTTATAAAGCAGTGATATAATTTCTAATGTATCCAGTAACATTGAACTTCAGACCAAATCATTTGCGGTAAATGCTTAAGATAAAGGTGGCCTAATTCACCAGGCCCCAGTGGCTCTTGCCTGTAATCCTAGCTACTCAGGAGGCTGAGATCACAGTTCAAAGCTAGCTCAGGCAGGAAAGTCTTTAAGAAGCTTATTTTTCAATTAACCACTAGAAAACTGAAACTGCAGCTGCAGCTCAAGTAGTAGTGTTTGCCTTGAACAAAAAAAGCTCGGGAACAGCACCCAGGCCCTGAGTTCAAGCCCCAGGACTAGCACCAAAAAAAAGTGACCTAACTGAGATTAAGAATCAGACCAGGCCTGGTACTAGTGACTCACGCCTGTAATCCTAGCTACTCAAGATGCTGAGATCTGAGGATCGCAGTTCAAAGCCAGCCCAGGGAGGAAAGTCTGTGAGACCCTTATCTCCAATAAGCCACTCACAAACCAGAAGTGGCACTGTGGCTCAAGTGGTAGAGCAGTAACCTTGAGCTGAAGAGCTGAGGGACAGCATCCAGGCCCAGAGTTCAAGCCCCATGACCAACAACAACAACAACAAAAAAAAGGATCAGACCAGGTCCTCAGCTACCTCCCATCCTCAAGCTGCCCCTGCCCAATAGTTCCCACTAAGTTCAGAAAGCCCTTGCCTTTTTTTCTCCCATTATGGGACCACCTATACTTAACCTAAAAATGAACTTCCTGTAGATGGAGATAACAGGCTAGTAGATATGATCATCTTTAACTCAGAGGGTGTTTCTAGTCCTACCCTGAAAAAAAAAAAAGCTGTTCTGCTTCACCTGGGCCATCTGGAATCTTTACTAGAACAGCATAAAATTATGATACAAAGGGCAAGCTACAGGGAGGAAAGTCAGCTGGTCCTTTAAACACCTGTGATGTGCAAACGCTGTGTGGGAACAATCAATATCCAGTGCATGGCAATCCTGCCCTTTAGGGATGAAGAATGGAAAGGCAGAGAGCAATTCATCTTGCAGGTGTCACCTGGAAACTAAATCAGATTATCTGAGACTCTGCTCAATTGTGCTCAAAGATGTCCCTACTCTCCTGGATAGGCATCACCACCTAGGGGTTACTAAACTAGTCCATGGAGGATTCACTAGAGTTCTGAAAGCCATTCAACAACCTTCAGACTAAAGCATTTCCCCCAGCTCCTTTCAACAAGCACACACTCTGCTATCCCATTCAGCCTCTGCAGAGAGCTAGTCCAAAGAATTCGAGTTTGCAAATCAACTAAAGTATGTCAGAATAATTTTTAAAGGAAATATATACTTTGTTCATATTTCTTGAACATTCAAGGCAACCTAGAAACTTAGAGCATAAGCCAGGCACCAGTGGCTCATACCTGTCATCCTTGCTACTCCAGAGGCTGAGATCTGAGGATTGCAGTTCAAAGCCAGGCTGGGCAGGAAAGTCTGTGAGAATTTTATTTCCAGTTAATCACACACAAAAAAAAAAGCTGGAAGTGGAAAAGTTGCTCAAGTGGTAGAGCCCTAGCCTGAGCAAAAAAGTTCAAGGACACTGCCCAGTAAATAAATAAATAAAGCATCATTGCAAAAGTAGCCATCCATTCTCTAGTATCAATACTTGTTCACCACCCCCATCACCCAAGCTGACATGGAGCCTCCTATAAAACCCAGAAACTCCTTTTTCAGCTTCAGCTCCCTCTCTTCTCTTCCCTTTATGATATTGTTTTATCTCCTTCCCTTTATTATATAGACAAATTCTGTCTTTCTCTGGGCCCTCCTAGGCAAGAACCACCCTTTCTCTTTAGGAGAGGTTTGCGAACAACTAAGCAGGCTAATAAATGTAAGATATTCTTTTACAGATTTAGTAAATATGAAGGCATTAATGGCATATGTCAACACTGCATATGAGTGCATTAATGGTGCACATTATTACATGGACATGACACATCAGTTTTATTTTGTTTTGTTTTTGTTGGTCGTGGGGCCTGAACTCTGGGCCTGGGCGCTGTCCCTGAGCTCTTCAGCTCAAGGCTAGCGCTCTACCACGTGAGTCATAGCTCCACTTCCAGCCTTTTCTGCTTATGTGGTGCTGAGGAATCGAACCCAGGGCCTCACGCATGCAAGGCAAGCATTCTACCACTGAGCCACCTTCCCAGCCCCGACACATCAGTTTTGTACATAGGTTATTGATTCAGTGCTATACATTGTACATTACTACTATTTTCCCTTACCTGGATGTAGTCATGCCTTCCATTGGTATGGGTCCTTTCTTGTACTCCCCTTTGGGCTTGAAGGAATCTCTGGGCAGGTAAGAGTTATAGGTAGGGTAGTTCTCCGTGTATTCAGAGAGAAAGTATGGTTGCTCTGTTTTATCATAAATCTTAGTAGCAAGATGTGGACAGTGATGCCGCCTATAAAAGACACATGGAGATTGCTTGGTTATTTTCTCTGGAGGAATACAATCAGTTTGATCATGCTATTTCCTCCATATGAGACCCAGATTATATACCACATGACTCCTAGCATTAAAAATTTTTTAAATTAGAATTTAACTCTTATTTTTCTCTAGCAAACCATATGAAAGGACCAGAACTTAAAAGACAATTTAGCCAGGTACCAGTGGCACACTCCTATAATCCTAGCTACTCAAGAGGTTAAGATCTGAGGATCACAGTTCAAAACCCACCCAGGCAAGAAAGCCCATGAAAACACATCTCCAAACCACTAAAAAGCAAGGAGTTGAGCAGTGACTCAGGTGCTTCCTGAGCACCTGCTTTCAGCAAAAAAAAAAACTGAGGGACAGTGCCCAGGCCTGACTTAGAACCCCAGGACATGCACCAAAAATAAATAACAACAACAATATAAAGAATCTGTAATTGTAATTGGTTAATCAAAATCATAAAATCATATACAAGCATGGCCACAATGGCCCTCCCTGTATTGAGGCCTCCCAACAAGCCATCAATGAAGAGCTTAATACTAACTCAACAAGCTGCACCAAGGCCCTGCCCTAGAGCTAGGCTGGTTGTCTTTTGAGCTAGTTAGTTCCTGGGCCAATTCAAAATACCACCACTGCAAGCAAGTGGTATCATTTATACACAGGAAAATCACTTCGCTTCTGAGGCCACTAAATATTATTGACGATGTGACCCCATTTCACATAGAAAATCTTACTGTATTGATCCAGCCCTCATTTCAATACTACAACCTTAAATAGATGGGGGAGAATGACAAAAAGGGTGACGGCTTATCAAAACGCATTACACTTACAAGCTGACAGGGTGAATTGAAATTCTATTGTCTAACTCTGTAAGGATAATAAATAAATAAATAAATGAACGTCCTCCTGATTATCTTATAGCTGAATACAAACCACCACCACCTTCTCTGTCCTCCTCACTTGGTATGCACAGTCTCGCAAATCACCTTGAGTTTGTTTATTCTTTCTCCCATCAGGCTCAGCATCCTTAACTTATTCACTGCTACATGACCACTACCCTCAAATCCTGCCTGGTATTCAGTAAACATTCGTTGGGTCAATGGGTACAGATATGAATTATTAAATGATAGATAATATCTTAAATTTCCAATTTAAAGTGAGCTTTTCCATTCTTCATGCATGGTAATAGACTTATTCTACTTATAGCTGAACAACAGGCAACTGTTGGAGCTGTCAAAAATTAAACACACAATGCATGATTTATTTGTATATCACAAACAGTTCTTACAGATCAGCTGGGGCACCTTTAGTCCTAAAGAACTAGCACCAGAAAATATTTCATGGTAGTGATTTCCAGCATAGTTCTATCAAAGTGTGACATGTAATTGTTTTTACAACTTATTTACAGAAATGAAAATACATAGTACTCTAGGGAAGCACCTAGATGCAAGGAAGAGGAAAAGTATAGGAGAGAGAGTAACTGAGACCTCATCACTGCTTAATATAAACTACTTTCCAAGCAATACTGCTCCTGTTGCTAATAAACCCAACATTTCACATACACATGCTGCCAACACAGTTGCTCTGTGAATCTCTCTTCACCTTTCAGCACATAGTCAACTTCTGAATACAACCACATAATAACAAATACCTTTGGCCAGGCACCAAGGACTCACACTATAATCCTAGTGCCTCAGGAGGCTGAGATCTGAGAATCACAGTTCAAAGCCAGTCTAGGCAGACACATCTCTGAAACTCACCAATGAACCATGAAAAAATCAGAACTAAAGTAGTTCTCAAAAAGTATTACTCAAGGGGCTGGGAACATGGCTTAGTGGTAAAGTGCTTGCCTAGTATGCACGAAGCCCTGGGTTCGATTCCTTAGACCACATAAACAGAAGAAGCTGGAAGTGGCACTGTGGCTCAAGTGGTAGAGTGCTTGCCTTGAGCTGAAGAGCTGAGGGACAGCGCCCAGGCCCAGAGTTCAAGCCCCACAACAGCCAAAAAAAAAAAAAAAACCAAATTCCCAGAAAATCAACAACCCAATTAATAAATAGGCAAATGAACTGAACAGAGACTTCTCGAAGTACAAATGGTCCATAAAGAATGCTTAGCCGGGCACCGGTGACTCACGCCTGTAATCTTAGCTACTCAGAAGGCTGAGCTCTGAGGATCACGGTTCAAAAGACCGTGAGACTCCTATCTCCAATAAACCACTAGAAAACCGGAAGTGGTGCTGTGGCTCAAGTGGTAGAGCCCGCGCCTTGAGCTGAAGAGCTGAGGGACAGAGCCCAGGCCCAGAGTTCAAGCCCTGCGACCGACAAAAAAAAAAAAAAGAAGAAGAAAAGAAATGCTTAGCTAAGCACTCATGGCTCACACTTATAATCCTAGCTACTCAGGAAGCTGAGATCTGAGAATCACGGTTCAAAGCCAGCCAGGGCTGACAAGTCGCCGTGAGATTCTTATCTCCAATTAACCACCAGAAAACCAGAAGTGGTGCTATGGTTCAAAGAGTGCTATCTTTGAGCAAAAGAGTTCAAGTCCCATGACAGATGGAAGAAAGGAAGGAACAAAGGAAGAAAGAAAGAAAGAAAGATAGGTCCCTGGCCATAAAGGAAATGCAAATCAAAATAAAATCAAGATTTTATTGACCATCATCAAGAACGTAACAATTCTGACATGAATGCCAGGGTAAGGTAAACCCTTACACACTGTTGATAGGATCTAAAACAGTACAACCACTACTGAAATCAGTGTGAAAGTTTCTCAAAAATCTAAAATTGGACTGTAATCCTAGCTACTCAGAAGTCTGAGATCTGAAAAATTGCAGTTAGAAGCTAGCCCAGACAGAAAAGTCCATGAGAATCTTATCTACAATTAACTATCAAAAAGCCAAAAGTAAAGCTGTGGCTCAAGTGGTAGAGAACTAAGTCTTGAGCACAAAAGCTCAGGGACAGTGTTCAGGCCCTGAGTTTACACCCCAGGAGTGACGCACACACACAAAAAAAATCTAAAAATAAAACTACCAGATGATCCAGCAATACCATTCTTGGATTCACATTCCAAAACAATGAGCCTACCATGGTACATGTAGTGAAGAGGGCTAGGGAAGAGGCAGAGAGCAGAACATAGCTGGACTTCACAGGTGGAAGATCTCCTCCCTCTGCCACTGACTATTGTGCAATAGTGAGAAATTACTTAGCTCTTCTCAACTCCAGCTTCCTTCTGTGTAATAATGTGAATAGTGATTCTTACTAGTTAATAAGATTGTGTGGATTAAATCAGGTACTGGAAGTGAAAGGCCTTGCCTGGGCCAAGACAAGCACTCTAATTTAATAGGCTACATTTATGGAGCTATTGCTATAAACCACATGGGAAACTTATCTATTGTCCTAACTAATCTCCACAGCAATCCTAGGAGAGTGGCCCAGTTAATAAATGTGGAAACTGAGATTTAGGGGATGTTATTTAAAGTCACCTGGCCAGAAGGTGATGGAGATAAGAAGGTTCCAAAGACTTCAGTCTCAATCACACAATATGCTGTATGGCTTACTAAAATGCCAGCTTTTAAAAATACCTGTTCACCAGGCACTGGTGGCTCAGGCTTGTAATCCTAGCTACTCATGAGGCTGAGATCTGAGGATTGCGGTTCAAACCAGTACAGGCAGAAAAGTCTGTGTGATTCTTAACTCCAATGAACCAGCAAGAAAACCAGAAGTGAAGCTGTGGATCAAAGTGGTAGAATACTAGCCTTGAACAAAAAAGCTCAGAGACAGTGCCCAGGCCCTGAGTTCCAACCTCACAACTGATGATAGATAGATAGATAGAGAGAGAGAGAGAGAGAGAGAGAGAGAGAGAGAGAGAGAGAGAGAGAGAGAGAGAGAGAGAGATACACACAGGCACTCGGGCGGGTGTGTGTGTGTGTGTGTGTGTGTGTGTGTGTGTGTGTGTGTGTGTGTGTGTGTGTGTGTGTGTGTGTGTGTGTGTGTGTGTGTGTGTGTGTGTGTGTGAAGCCAGAAGGAGTTGAAAAGTCCCCATGAAAATTTTATCTCCAATTAACCACCAGAAAAACTAGAAAATAGTGCTGTGTTTTAAAGAGTGCTAGCTTTGAGCAAAAGATCTCAGAGACAGTGCCCAGGCCCTGAGTTCAAGCCCCATGACTGACAAAAAAAGAAAAACAAAAAGAAACATTCAACATCCCTGGCCATAAAGGAAATGAAAATGAAAATAAAATCAAGATTTTATGAGCATCATCAAGAACATAACAATGTTGATATGAATGGCAGGGTGGAGTAAACCCTTATACGCTGTTGATGTGATATTTATACTCAGCTAAACCTAAAGGTAATGGGGTAATAGGCAGAATTTTGACCTCCTTCATCCAAATCCCTTTTAGCCTTCCAAGACAGACATCTTATCTTTCCTACTAATCCTGAAAATATGCCAATAGAAACTGACAAATAGCTACAATTCCATCTGTATTTGAAAACTCTGGTCTTTCCCTGAGTGTTCTTTACCATATAAACAAGAGACTGTCCTTAAAGTAGTAACAACAGCCAGGGAAGTGAAGAATACAATGTTGGATCTTGGAGGACCCTGGAGACCAGCCAGTCCCCAGCCTAGACTTCACCACACAGATGTGGATGCTGAGACCCAGAAATATGGAGTTACTGCCTAAGGTCACACAGATGGCCAGCACAGCTTTCACCCCACAGCCCATATTACCCCCCACATCACTGACTTCCACTTACAATCCAATTTAAAACCCAAAGTTGAGCCTCTTAAAGGATTTGCAGCCTGCTTTTTCTTTTTCCCAGTAGAGGAAAGCCTTTGAACTGTCACAGCTGCTGATGAGGGAAGAAAACACCCAAGAAAATGTGTTTCCAGTCTGGGGATGGAGGCAGGGAGGAGAGGTATACCAAGTCACAAGCCATAAATATCATCACTCAGGGCTGGGTGTGGTGGTATGTATCTGTAATCACAGCTACTTAGAAGGTGGAATTTGGGAGGATTGTGGTTTAAGGCCAATCGAGGCAAAAAAAAAAAAATTATCAAGACCCAATCTCAACCAATAACCTATTCAAGATAGTTCAGCTATGCAGAAGGCCATAGGTAGAAGGCTCATGGCCCCAGGCAAGTCCCAGGCCAAAACATGGGATCTGGAATTAGAGGTACTGCCAACAGGGTAGTACCTTCCTGGAAAGCACAAGGCCCTGAGTTCAAACCCCAGTACTACCAAAACAAAAGTCATCACTCATCATCCATACTCATAGTTTTGAATGATTCTACAATGGCTGGGTGGCAGATACTAGAGGCAAGAATGGGCAAAGCCAGCATTTACCCTGAAACACATATGTATCTATCTGCAGTAGTTTGTATACTTCTAAATTTATCAACTAAAATTTGTTATTTTCTATCTGTAATATACCTAGCTACCAATGCTTTTATACACTGCACAATAAGGAACCTACATACACTTCATGACAATCCTGAGACAAAATGCCTGGCAGTCTTTCCCTTCACCTTATCTACAGATCTAGGGGAACAGAACAGGCTAAGAAATAAGGAAGAGCCCAGTGTACATTATACATGGTAAAATGAGCAGTATACATAAACTGACAGTCTGTGGTGACCAGTCCTTCAGGGGACCAGACTCTAAGAACAGAAATCAGAACAAAACGCTTTAATACATGTCAGGAGCAAGCTCCCTTAAAAAAATATCCAGTGCAAATATGACAAGTAGATGACACTCATATGCCAACCAACAAAGGCTGCCTGGGGTGTGGCCCACTGAAAAGATTCTGAAGACAAGACCTGTTCTATGACAAAAAAAAAAAAAAATACCTTGATTGATTAGTCATGTCTGCCAAGGGTACCAGATGAAGGAAAGGAAGAAAGTCCTAGCAGAAATGTCTACAGACTGTTGAAAATGATGGCTAGTACGAATCACATGTTTAAAAGACACCTGGATTGACAACAAAACCATTAAAAAAATAGAAATGAGTTGCCAAGAAGAGAAAAATGAATTAAAGTATGTTAGAGAGTATCATGTTTAAGGAGGAAAAAGAAATTTGGTATGGGAGAGAAGCTAACAAAAAGAACAAGAAAGCTAATCACTGGTGGCTCATGCCTGTAACTCATAGCTACTCAGAAGGCTGAGATCTGAGGATCCTAGTTCAAAACCAGCCTGGATAGGAAAGTCAATGAGACTCTTATCTCCAATTAACCATCAGAAAAAAATATAAGTGGATAATTGTAACCCCTCTGTACAGCATCTTTACAATAAAAGAAAAAAATTTTAAAAATAAAGAAAAAAATTATAAGTAGTGCTGTGGCTTGAAGTAGTAGAGTGCTAGCCTTAAGTGAAAGAGCTCAAGGACAGCCCCCAGGCCCTGAGTTCAAGTCCAACAATCAACAAAAAAAAACACCAAGAAAAAATTATTTTAAAAAAATGAAAATTTCACAGATCAAATAAAGAAGTGGAGCTGCAGCTTAAGTAACAGAGTGCTAGCCTTGAGCAAAAGAGCTCAGGAACAGCACCCAGGCCCTGAGCTAAAACCCCAGGATGGACACACACACACACACACACACACACACACACACACACAGGACAGGTAGATGAATGAATAATGGAATAAATAAATGAAGACTATGTCAATGTTAATAATAGAGTCTAAGTGACAAGTATATAACCGAAATTCCTTTGATCAAGATGCATTACACTCATCAAGTGATATGTTGACTTAAAACCCCTTTGTACAACTACTTAAATCTAATTTTTAATTTAAAAATAAATAATTTGCCTTTATTATATGCTTGAAATGTTTTATAATAAAATATTGTGACAGACAAAAAGATAAGTTTTCCTTTCATCCCTAAATGTGCTTTCCAATGTGATTGTGGCACCATGGTTCCATCTAGAGAAGCGTAATTGCCCTGACAGCCGGGACTGATGGATAGCCCAAATATGACAAAACCTTCATCAGCTGGATGCTGGACACTTCCAGCATTCACACTGATTTGGGGGTGAAGGGGTTCTTGTCACTCTAGTCTCTCTTTTTTCATAGATTTAAATTTTTCCGACATTAAGGAACTATGAAAACAAATCCCTAAGAGGCAGGGCCTCCATGATATAAGCATGTAGTTGCTTAAGCAAGAGCTTCCCTGGAGGCCAATACGGCTTCAGTCCAACCACCTGGGACAAAAGAGGCTCTTGATTTAAGCTGATGATAAGTGCAGAGCCTCTGACCACAAGGAGTTTCCCTGCTCACACGCTGGGGTTGGGGTCAGCTGCACCAGGCTTGTTCCCACATGGCCCTTCAGTGTCCCAGCCAGAGCGCAGCAAGCTCACATCCTTGACTGGAGTTTCACTCTGTGCTCAAGAAATCTAGTACCCAACAGCTGTGCTAAACAAATCTTTCCAAGGCTATCTTCCGGGCAGAACAAAGAACAACCAAAGCCTCTCTAATCCCTACTTTAAAACAAAGTTTCTCTTCGACCCACCATTTCTTTCCTACCAAGATTGCCAAGCTGATTGTGATTACTCTTATCACATCATTATTCCTGTAATAAGACTTTTGTTGGTCAGGCTCTGTGGACTGCCTAGGGAAAGGTGATTTGTTATTAAATAACCAACTAGGCACAATGCCTGGGACACCCACACACTTTAAAAAATGTTGTTGGATGGATAAATAATTTGTAAAACATATAGTTTTTAGAATTTGGCCATGTGATATTGTTTTATTCCTGGTATAATCCTCAGATCTATACAGAGTAGAAAGCATGATCCCTGCCCCACTATAACCTCACCACCAATATCTCAGATGAGCTGGGCACTGGTGGTCCATGCCTATGATCCTGGCTATTCAGAAGGGTGAGATATGAGTATCATGGTTCAAAGCCAGCTGGGGCTGGATGGTCCATAAGACTCCTATCTCCAATAAACTTCCAAAAAGCTGGAAGTGGAGCTAGGGCTCAGGTGGTAGAGAGCTAGCCTTGAGCAAAAATCTTCAAGGACAGCTCCTAAGCCCTGAGTTCAAAGCCCTAGGATCAGCACAAAAAGAAAACAAAAACCATAACCCAGATAAAGAAGCCAGGCCACAGGGATTGGAAATTTGCACAACACAACAATCAGTAGCAAAAGCAGATCAGTCCCTGCTTTACTGACTCCAAGTGGGATGTTCATTTCATCCCATCTAATTCCTCCCTGTAGAAAACAGGCCGATTACTCAGAATATAAGAGCCTCCTCTACCCACAAGCACTAAGCTTGGAGTTAGGGATATGTGGCTTCTCCCTAAGTTACAAAAGAAAGGGACCCAGTGAGCTCAGATCTTATTTGGAAAGGAGGGAGAGAAAACAGTTGGATAAATGCCATCATCCATAAAACCCCAGATGTTTGGCTTGATGTGTCAACATGTTAAATGTCTCATATAATTAATTAAGGTAAAAAGATAAGTCACGCTAGACACCATGTTTATTTCCACCAGGCAGCTGACATCAAACACTCCACATGTACTAATTTGTTTCATAATTTCTTTCTTCACACAGGGCCCTTTTTTCATTTTGCATAAATAACAAAAAAATGTGCTGTACTTTCTCACCCCTTTTGGGATGCTCAGGGACTGGCTAGGATCACCGTGAGCTGTCAACTTTGAGGTCAGATAACCCCCAAGCTGGAATTCATAAAAGATGACTCCTCTACTAGCTCCAAGTTTGCAGAAAAGATTGGATAAATGAGCACCAGCCCTAGGCTGCAATGACCAGCTGCAATGAACACCATTGCTGCTACCCCATCCACACCCATCTGGACATACAGGAGATGCAGACTTTGGTTTCTACTTCAAGCTTCAGCAGGTAGACCAATAACAACAGAGGTGGAGCCCAAAAGTCCAAAGGAAGGACTGCAAAATAACTGCATCTCATCTTCTCAAGAAAGGTACACAACATCCCTGCCTCCTTCCCTGGAGTGCTATCATGCTTATGATGTTTTCCGAATTGCTAGCTTTCTGTAACTTACCAGGCACTTCATGGTGTCCATTGACTTGAGCCCCCAAACATGGAGCTATATCAGATTTTCAATGCCAATGTCACACTTTCTGGAGTCTTTATACCTCTAAACATAGCTTTGTCTCATCTAGTGAATAATGGATATAAAAATGGCTCATTGGGCTCATGCATCTGTTTGATCTGCCCCAGCTCTCCTACTCAGTACACAAAATTTCTCCTGATGAACCACAGAGAGGAGCACTTTTCTCAGTAGCAAATGGGAAAGCAAGACAGAGAGAAAGATCTAGATCTCGGATCCAATACCTAATTCAAGCAGTGGGAGTTTTTCTCTACTGTTTTTGTTTTGTTTTTTGTTGGTCGTGGGGCTTGAACTCTGGGCCCCGGCACTGTCCCTGGGCTCTTCAGCTTAAGGAGAGCACTCTATCACTTTAGCCACAGCGCCACTTCCAGTTTTCTGGTGGTTTATTAGAGATAAGAATCTCATGGAGTTGGACGCCAGTGGCTCACGCCTGTAGTCCTAGCTACTCAGAAGACAGAGATCTGAGGATTGAGGTTCTAAACCAGCCCAGGCAGGAAAGCCCATGGGACTCTTATCTCCAATAAACCACCAGAAGACAAGAAGTGGCGATGTGGCTCTAGTAGTAGAGTGCTTCCCTTGAGCTGAAGAGCTCAGGGACAGCACCCAGGCCCCATTCAAACCCAACAACCCCCCC